AGAGCAGGCCCTGCTGTGGCGCGCCGGAGCCATTGGGGAACCCTGCACTCCGGAGGGGGGGGGTGCTCTCTTTCTGCCCTTTCAAAAGCATTTAGGGGCAAACATTTGGGGGAGGGGATTCTCAGCCTTTTTTTTTCTGGGATCGCCCTCCAGCTCTGCCAGCCCCCACCACGCGTGCTTTCCAACGGGGCGCAGTAGTTTGCCAGTGAGAGACAGCGCAGGCGGCCGCCCTCCCCGCCCTGCAGGCTCAGTGCCACGCGTGCTTTCCAAACGGGGCGCAGCGGGTGATGTGCGTACGGCGCGCACACACACATTCCAGCCCCACCACTTTCCCCAGGGCCCCCCCACTAGAAAGGTCCCAGCTACGGGCCTGGATTGAGGTGATGAGACAGGAGGTCCTACAGATGAACAAATTTAAAACTGACAAATCAGCAAAACCGTATGGCATACATCCAAGAGTTCTGAAAGAACTCAAATGTGAACTTGTGGATCTCCAAAAAAAACATGCCACCATTCCTGAGGACTGGTAGGTAGCTAATGTAACCCCCATCTTTAAAAATGTTTCCAGTGGAGATCTGGGAAATTACAGGCCAGTCAGTCTAATGTTGATACCAGATAAATTGGTGGAATCCATTATTAAAAATAGAAGTAGTAGGCACATTGATGAATAAAAGCTGTTGAGGAAGAATCAGCATGGATTCTGTAAGGGAGATGTTGGGTGCGTTCAGACAGCTCTTTAGATCCGTGCGAGGCACTGGTGTCTCATGGATTTAAATGTAATGTCCAGACATCAACATCTGGGCAACATCCGTCTTGCATGAGCATCCCGTTTTGCTGCGCTTTGGAGCCGTACTAAAAAGACACTACTTTAAATCTAGAGTTTTCGGTTCCGATGGGCCACTCGCAGACCTCCCCCATCTGATCGTTTCAGTGCGCAATTAAAAATGGTTCCCATGATGTCAGACCATCCCGAACGGGTGCCATTTTTAAAAAGTCTTGATTCTGCACACGCACGAATAACCAAGGATGCAATATCATGCCTATGCACATGCACAAACTTTTGTGTTTTTTTTAAAAAAACCACTGCACGTGCGCCTCATTCAGTGGATGCCGTCTGGACAAACCACAGTGGAAGCAGCGTGCGGTGATTCCACCAGGGGATGTCTGGTCATGCAAGGATGGATTAAAATGATTGGGATCAAATTTGAGCCGGCATAATGGTGGGATTAGCTGTTCATCTGAATGCACCCCTTGTCTCACCAAACTTTTATGGTTCTTTGAGGGGGTGAACAAACATGTGGGCAAGAGTGACCCAATAGATGTTGTTTACCTAGACTTCCAGAAAGCTTTTGATAAAGCTCCACATCAAAGGCTCCTAAATATAAGTATGGGATAAGAGGACAAATCCTCTTGTGAATTATAAATTGGTTAATTAACAGGAACCAGAGAGTGATTATAAATGGGCAGTTGTCACAGTGGAAGGTGGTAAGCAGTGGGGTACTGCAGGACTGAGTACTAGGTCTGGTGCCTTTTAACTTGTTCATTAATGATTTGGAGTTGGGAGTAAGCAGTGAAGTGGCTAAATTTGTGGATGATACAAAGTTGTTCAGGGTAGTGAGAACCAGGGAGGACTGTGAGTCGCTCCAGAGGGATCTGTTGAGGCTGGGCAAGTGGGCATCAATGTGGCAAATAAGGTTCAATGTGGGCAAGTGGAAAGTAATGCACACTGGAACAAAAATTCCTAAGTATAGGGTTGATGGGGTTTGGACTGGCGGTAAATGACCGGGAGAGAGATCTTGGAGTCATGGTTCATAACTCACTGAAAATGTCGACTCAGTGTGCAACTAGAATAAGATAGGCACATACTATGCTGGGGATTATTAGGAAAAGGATTAAAAACAATACAGTATCTTAATGCCCCTTTATTAATCTATGGTATTGCCTCATTTGGAATACTGTGAACAGTTCTGGTCACCACACCTCAAAAAAGATATCAGAGCATTGGAGAAGGTGCAGAAAATGGCAACTAAAAGTGATTAAGGGGACTGAACACCTTTTCTATGAAGAAAGGTTAAAGAGGTTAGGGCTCTTTAGCTTGGAGGAACGATGATTGAGGGGTGACATGATAGAGGTTTACAAAATTATGCATGGGACAGAGAAGGCAGAGAAAGAAGTATTTTTCGCCCTTTCTCACAATCCAGAAACTCATGGGCACTGGATGAAATTAACGAGCAGTAGGCTTAGAACAGCTGAAAGGAAGTACTTCTTCACTCAGAGTAATCAACATGTAGAATTCACTGCTGCAGGAAGTGGTGGCGGCTACAAGCGCAGACAGCTTCAAGAGGGGATTGGATAAACATGTGGAGCAGAGGTTCATCAGTGGCTGTTAGCCACAAGATATAGATGAAACACTCTGTCTGGGGCAGTGACACTCTGTATTCTTGGTGCTTGGGGGGGCACAGTGGGAGGGCTTCTGGAGTTCTGACCCTACTGGTGGACCTCCTGATGGCACCTGGGTTCTGGCCACTATGGAGAGCCAGTTTGGTGTAGTGGTTAAGTGTGCGGACTCTAATCTGGGAGAACCGGGTTTGATTCCCCACTCCTCCACTTGCACCTGCTGATGTGACCTTGGGTCAGTCACAAGCTCTGGCATAGCTGTCCTTGAAAAAGAGCAGTTTGTGTCAGAGTTCTCTCAGCCCCACCCACCTCACAGGGTGTCTGTTGTGGGGAGGGGAAGGGAAAGGAGTTTGTAAGACGCTCTGAGACTCCAAGTGAAGGGCGGGGTATAAATCCAATCTCTTCTTCTTCTATGGGACTGTATAGGATCCTGCCCCCGTGCCTGTCCAGGAACGAGGGGGGAAGCCTATACTTTTCAATACATTTAACAACCGCCCAGAGAGTATGCTATCCTCTCTGGATTTCCGAGCACTTTGCCTCCAGGATCTCCACTTAATCCCTCACCAGCCTGAGATCAGAGATCCACAATCTCAGTTGGCATCTGGGTTGTGCACACTAGCACCTCTATCCAGAGACACACAATTAATCTTACACAGAGGTAGCTTATAGGGTGAGCATAAGGCACAGACGTTTAGCCTTGGAACTCAGTTACGAAACAAAATTCCAGGGGCACCTTTATTTACACCCCACCTTTCACTCTAATGAGAGCCAGTTTGGTGTAGTGGTTAAGTGCACAGACTCTAATCTGGGAGAACCGGGTTTGATTCCCCACTCCTCCACTTGCACCTGCTGATGTGACCTTGGGTCAGTCACAAGCTCTGGCACAGCTGTCCTTGAAAAAGAGCAGTTTCTGTCAGAGCTCTCTCAGCCCCACCCACCTCACAGGGTGTCTGTTGTGGGGAGGGGAAGGGGAAGGAGTTTGTAAGCCGCTCTGAGACTCGAAGTGAAGGGCGGGGTATAAATCCAATCTCTTTCTCTTTCTTTCTAATGGGGACCTAAACTGGTTATAAACAAGGATAATATTTTATTCAGTCAGAACTTAGCAATTAGACTAATAAGGATTTCAAAATAAGAAACCTGAGGCAGTTCACCTTGACTACACAGTAAGGAAGCACATCTACCAACTTCAGGAATCCATTGTCCAAGATTGTCCATTGTTATAGTCCAGTAGCCTCAAGGGATTTGGAGCAAGAAGTCCATCTTTGCCAACCACGTGCTCAGCTCCAAAGCAGTTCTTTGTCTCTCCGAGAGACCACATGGCAGGACAGCATTTCAGGTGGACAGAAAACAGAGCAGCAGAGATAGCAGGAACAGAACAGAACAGAGAGAGAGAGAGATCTCTCCCCCAAGGGATCAGACAATTAAACCCCAATCTAGTCACAATCAGGGGTCATTTCGTAGAAAAAGAGGTGCAGGAGCTCATCAGCATAACTTATTTGCATATGCCACACCCTCTGACATCACCGGAAGTGTGTCAGAAGGCAACACCCAGTGCTCAGGTTCAATCGGACTGTTTTGGATTTCTGGCTATTGGGGGGGGGGGGCGTGCAGATCTGTCCTCGCAGAGGAGGGAGAGCCTGTTTTGGATTGCTAGCTTTGACCTCACAGAGGAGGGAGAGCTTGTACCTGAATAAAACTTGGTCTTAAAGGTGCCACTGGACTCTTTTGGACCGGGGGGCCGAGGGTAGTGGTCTGCAGCTTACCTAGCTGCTGGGAGCAGGGGGTGGGGCTTGTTGCATGTGCCCGCCCCCTGGGCTCTTTACTGCCGGAGCTTCGCTCCTGTGCACTCCTGCAGGAAAGGACCTCTGGTCACAATCAGCTGTGGCCATTCAGCTAACTGCGAGTAGGAAGGGTGTGTCCAAATGTTGGTGGTCATGGCAACGGTGGGGATAGGCTAGGTATGGAGACCACCCTCTGCAGTCAGGTGACCCCCAAACTCCAACTACTTCATTTTGTACGTGACTTCGGGCATGCAGGCAGGGCCATCTGGTCTCTCCCAGCATGGAAGTGTGAAGAATGTGTGTTTATGGCATGGCAATTGAGCCATGGGGCCCACCATTGGGTTTCAACAGGAAATACAGCACAGCATGGTATCAGAAGACATTCCAGGGGAAGGCAGGGACATTTAGAAATCAATACAGTGACAAAGGGTGTTGGTCTGGATGGGCCATTGGCCTGATCCAGCATAACTTCTCTTATGTTCTTAAATGTTAGTACATGTATATAAAATATGAATTCATCCACAACATATCACTGTTACCCAGAAAAAATGAGGAAGTGCAGACCACATTGAAGGAAGCAGTCATTAAATCCCTCCTGAAGCATACAGATCCTCTATATTTTCCATTTTTTTTCTACTGGAAAAATAGGGAGGACAGCCCTCAGGAAATTGAGAAGGGCCCCCCGCCTCTGTCGCCTTCTTCCCATGGGCAGGAAATGAAGGGATGAGGGAAGGCTGAAATGAACATTTGAACTGGAAATCATGTAGGCTGAATGTAACATTTCTTTTCTTCCTCTTAATCCAAAATGGCAGTTGGCGGCAGAATATGGAAGCGTTTACTCTTTGCCAGTTGGGTCTATCAGTTCCGTCGTGGTTTCTGGATCCCAGGCAGTGAAAGAAATTCTGGTGAACAATCCAGGACGGATTGCCAACCGAGCTGTGACCCCTTTTGAGAACGCTGTAATGAAAGGAAATGGTAAGTTGTTGTGAAGAGTGCAAGACCAATATTATTTAGTTAGATTCTTATCCCACTCCTTCCCCGGCAATCAAAAAATAAATAACAATACAAATATTCTATAAAACCATTTAATATACTGACACAGGGGTCATTTCCTGCGGGAGCGCACAGGAGCGGAGCTCCGGCAGTAAAGAGGCCAGGGGGCGGGCACATGCAACAAGCCCCACCCCTTGCAAGAAGCAGCTAGGTAAGCTGCAGACCACTACCCTCGGCCCCCCGGTCCAAAAGAGTCCAGTGGCACCTTTAAGACCAAGTTTTATTCAGGTACAAGCTCTCCCTCCTCTGTGAGGTCAAAGCTAGCAATCCAAAACAGTCCAGTGGAGCCTGAGCAGTGGGTGTTGCCTTTTGACACACTTCCGGTGATGTCAGGGGGTGTGGCAGATGTAGATGAGTTATGCTAATGAATTATGCTAATGAGCTCCTGCAGCTCTTTTTCTACGAAATGACCCCTGTACTGACAGTCCCATGTGACAACCAGAAGGGCTGATAGAAGCCCCTGTAAGATTGCCTCAGTGGAATGCCTGGAGGAATAATTCAAATTTACAGGCCCTGTGGAATTTAGACAGGTCCTGCAGGGGGTGAGTCTCTTCAGACAGAGCATTCTGCCAGGTTGGGGCCATTTCTGAACAGACCCTTGTCTTGGATGAAGTTAAATGAGCTACCCAAGAGTCAGGCACCACCAGAATGAGTGAAGTGGAATGCGAGCACCATGGGGGCTTGTAACGCGAGAGGTGGGAAACTCCTCTTTAGAGAGACCTCTCTCAAAAGAAGAGACACAAGCAAATCAGTGAATGACAAAACATGCAATGTCTCTGAATGTGTCTGTCATCTAGAGATTTCTCCATCAGTGAGGTCTGGAGATAGAAATGGTCCAGGGCTGGGGGGCTCCCCATTCCCAACTGGCAACTGCTCTAGGCATGGGCAGAGCTTACTATGGTGACTCAGCTACCAGATCATTTGTGCGTTGACACCCAAGCAAGACTAACTACTACATGAAACCTTGAAGTGAGTACCCTGCCAGGTAAATTTGAGGGGAGGGGCCATGGCTCTGTGGTAGAACATCTGCTTGGCATGCAGAAGGTCCCAGGTTCAATCCCTGCTGTGACGGACTGCACTTTTTAAGAGGCTTAAAAGTGCTATACCAACAACAAAAGGACTGTGAAGGGTTAAGTCTTCACAGAGCCAGAGAGCTTTGAATGACAGGCTGCTCTAAGCAAGCTGCTCAGTTGGTATCAGCTAAGAAGAAAAAGTCTTGTGAGAGCTGGATTCCTACCTTAACTGTGAAGAAACATGTACTGAGACAGTCTTCGAATAGCCCTGTCAGAAAAAGGGTTTAGTGCTGACAAAGTCAGATTTCTACCTTGACTGAATGCAGTCTGAATTCAGCAGTAACTGAGAGCAGTTTGAACACCAACAGAAATACTGGGGATAGTTTGGCAAAGGAAGTGAGTAGTAGAGAAGACTCCCATTCAGGCCAAAGGAAAAGGGATAGATCTTCTAGACAGAGAAGATTCCCTACCCAGTCAAACAGGGAGAGTTATTTCTGAGGAGTATAGAAGTCACTTCTCAGAATATCTTGTTATTGAGAATTCGTTCTCAAGAAGGGTTGTGTTATGTATAATTTAATAGAGTGTAACCACAGTGTGTCAGTTAGAAAGATTTCAATTAGAAAATAAGTTATACAGTTGCAAAATCCTCAAATATATGGTAAAAACCTGAAAAATAGTATTGTTTAAGTAATGTATGTATTGCATACTTGTATAACTTTTGGCAAAATACATTAAGGTTTTACTCACTGCAGTGAGTGTTGTTCTTTTGCTGTTTCAGTATAAGGAAGCTTCAGAACAAGTTTGGTATAGTGGTTATGAGCGGTGGACTCTAATCTGGAGAACCGGGTTTGATTCCCCACTCCTCCACATGCAGCCAGTTGGGTGGCATTGGGTCAGTCACGGTTCTTTCAGAGCTGTTCTCTCAAGAGCAGTTCTCTCAGAGCTCTCTCAGCACCCCCTACCTCACAGGGTGTCTGTTGTGGGGAGGGGAGAGGAAGGGAAGGAGCTTGTAAGCCACTGTGAGACACTGAGTGAAGGACGGGGTATAAATCCAACTCTTCTTTTCCAACTCCAACTCTTCATTTCCTTTATCAGGGAACATTCTGGTGGATGTTGCCCTATGCTCCACCCACCAACAGCAGCATGGATCGTGGGCCCAACAGCATCTGTTGTCGCCCCATGCCAGCGGAACCCATAAGAACATGAGAGATGCCAATGTTGGATCAGGCCAAAGCCCATCCAGTCCAACACTCTGTCACACAGTGGCCAGAAATACCAGGTGCCATCAGGAGGTCCAGCAGTGGGGCCAGGACACTAGAAGCCCTCCCACTGTTGCCCTCCCCCCCAGCACCAAGAATACAGAGCATCACTTGCCCCAGGTATAAGAATATAAGAGAAGCCAACGTTGGATCAGGCCAATGGCCCATCCAGTCCAACACTCTGTCACACAGTGCCCAAAAATACCAGGTGCCATCAGGAGGTCCACCAGTGGGGCCAGGATATTAGAAGCCCTCCCACTGTTGACCCCCCCAAGCACCAAGAAGACAGAGCATCACTTGCCCCAGAGCCCCTATACCTTGTGATTAATAGCCACTGATGGACCTCTGCTCCATATGCTTATCTAATTCCCTTTTGAAGCCGTCCATGCTTGTAGCCGCCACCACTTCCTCTGGCAGTGAATTCTTGGTGAACTCCTTCTTGGCCCCACCTGTAAGGGAGGAGGGCTGAATGAGCCTATCATTTGCTAAGCCCCCATGATTGGGACAGTGTCATAAGTTTGGCAGGATCCAACCTTGGGAGAGGGGATGTAGCTTGTCGGTGGTAATTGCCGGCAGCTGCAAGGCTCCATTATCTCAAGGGAGTGGCAGCAGCCCCAAAGGGGGACGTTTCCCCTTTCCTTTGGCTCTTGTTGGCACGGCGATTAACTTCCCACGAAGGACCACCGTATCTTTGGCGTTGACGTGATAAGTAGCCTCCAAAGATGGAACTGACTTCTGCTCTACAGTGATTTGGCTACGGAACTGGCTATGAGGACTTATCAAGAAGCTACAGCTTCCTTTTATGAATGGTTAGCTTACCTTCGCCCTCAAATGTTTTATTGCTAGCTGCTCTGATGTGGGATGATTTCTGCTATGCATACATCCTGTGAGTTTAAAGGTTTTTTTTACTCAATTAAATTAACAGTTAGAAGAAGAAGAAGTGGAGGAGGAGGTTGGATTTATACCCTGCCCTTCACTACCCAGAGGAGCCTCAGAGCGGCTTACAAACTCCGTTCCCTTCCCTCCCCACAACAGACACCCTGTGAGATCGGCGGGGCTGAGAGAGCTCTGAGAGAAGAAGAAGAAGAGGAGATTGGATTTATACCCTGCCCTTCACTACCCAAAGGAGTCTCAGAGCGGCTTACAAACTCCGTTCCCTTCCCTCCCCACAACAGACACCCTGTGAGATCGGCGGGGCTGAGAGAGCTCTGAGAGAAGAAGAAGAAGAGGAGATTGGATTTATACCCTGCCCTTCACTACCCAAAGGAGCCTCAGAGCGGCTCACAAACTCCTTTCCCTCCCCCTTCCCACAACAGACACCCTGTGAGGTCGGTGGGGCTGAGAGAGCTCTGACAGGAACGGCTCTTTTTCAAGAACACCTCTGAGAGAACTATGGCTTGCCCAAGGTCATCCAGCAGGTGGAAATGGAGGTGTGGGGAAACAAACCCGGCTCTCCCAGATTCGAATCCACGCACTTAACCACTACACCAAGCGGGTGTATATTTAAGAATATTTTGGCTGCTGTGGAGAGTTTTTGTCTGCTGTCAAGTTGTTAATCGGCTGCTGAGATGAACCCCAAGGTCAGTTGGACCTGATACCACCATTCCCAGATCAGTGAAGAGGAGCTTAGGCACAACAGCGCTCAGTGTAGTTTTTGCTGGCAAGCATGACTACAGTGGCCCATGGCTTCAGCCTGCCAGGAGGAGCATTGGCCCCGCAGTACTTTGCTTCGGCACATGGCAGCGCAGGGACAGTGCAGCTGCTGAACTGGAACGTGGCTTCAGCCTTCGAGGAGGAACATCGCTTTGCCCTGCTGATACACAGGGCTATTTTGGGGCGGGAACGCACAGGAACGGAGTTCTGGCTGGCTTTAGAGTTGGCCACACCCACTACAGCCAAAACCTCTGCATGCGTGGCTACAGAGGGAAGGCCTGGAGAGCGACCCCACCCCCGGCGACTCAGAGGCAGGCAGGCCAGGGCCCCCCCTGGAAGGATCAAAGAGGCATTTAAATACCTCCTCCGGCCTTTCCGAGGACCGGATTGCCAAACACCAAAATATTTATCCAAATTTCACCTATTCAAAATAGATTTAAAGGACTCCTCCCTCTTAAAACTTTTGTGCAATTAAGGAGGACTGGTATTGATAAAGGGGCTGTGCAATATCTTTTGTGATATATAAAAAGACGAAACTTAGGTGTTTAGATATATGATTCTTTCTATGTGGTAATGTTTATATGATAATTAATATAACGGTGAATAATTCATAAGAAATGTAGAAAGAATAATATAAAAATGAAAAAAATATATAAAAATTACTTTGTCATTGTCTGTAGTTGCTGAATTTTGGTATCTCCTACTTACCGTGGGTCCTATTTTGGTTGTGTGAATTGCTGTATTGGGACGGCATGGTAGTGGGGCAATCGGTGCACAGCAGTACTTGTTCTCACCTTTATTGACTATGGTTGCCAGGTCCTTGTTGGAAAATACCTGGAGAATTTGGGGGTGGAACCAGGAGAGGGTGAGGTTTGGGGAGGGGAGGGGAGGGGCCTCAGCATGGCACAATGCCATGGAGTCCACCCTTCAAAGCAGCCATTTTCTCCTGGGGAGCCGATCTCTGTCAGCTGGAGGTCAGTCGTAAAAGCGGGAGACCCCCAGGCCACAGCTGGAGGCTGGCAACCCTATTATTGACCCTCATGGGGCCCCAGCTGCTAAGGATGAGCACTGGCATAATGGGGTCTGGCTTCACCCAGCACAGGCAGAGGCACGGTATGCGAGGAAACAAGAAGAACGGAAGTACCTGCCTTTGCCCCGCTGGCTTGTGTGAGTTGCTACCAGCAAGGAGGACTGCTATGGCACCATCTTGCTCTCCGGCTGGCTCTGTGGCCCTTCCTCAAGTGAGGAAGGGCACAGTGGAAGGAGGGGGCACGGCCCTTTTCACAGCTGTTTTGGCCTCGTTTACATAATAACATCAGAAGAGCTCTGCTAGGTCAGACCAGTGGTCCATCTAGGCCAGCATCCTTTCTCACACAGTAGCCAGCCAGTTCCTCTGGAGGTCCAACAACAGGGCAGAGAGGCCAAGGCCTTCGTCAGAACATAAGAAGAGCCCTGCTGGATCAGACCAATGGTCCATCTAGTCCAGCATCCTGTCTCACATGGTGGCCAACCAGTTCCTCTGAATGGCCAACGACAGGGCATAGAGGATGAGGCCTTCATAAGACCATAAGAAGAGCTCTGCTGGGTCAGACCAGTGGTCCATCTAGTCCAGCATCCTGTCTCACATGGTGGCCAACCAGTTCCTCTGAATGGCCAACGACAGGGCATAGAGGATGAGGTTTTCATAAGACCATAAGAAGAGCTCTGCTGGGTCAGACCAGTGGTCCATCTAGGCCAGCATCCTGTCTCACATGGTGGCCAACCAGTTCCTCTGAATGGCCAATGACAGGGCATAGAGGATGAGGCCGTCATAAGAACGTAAGAGCCTTGCTGGATCAGACCAATGGTCCATCTAGTCCAGCATCCTGTCTCACATGGTGGCCAACCAGTTCCTCTGAATGGCCAATGACAGGGCATAGAGGATGAGGCTTTCATAAGACCATAAGAAGAACTCTGCTGGGTCAGACCAATGGTCCATCTAGTCCAGCATCCTGTCTCACATGGTGGCCAACCAGTTCCTCTGAATGGCCAACGACAGGGCATAGAGGATGTAGCCTTCATAAGAACGTAAGAGCCTTGCTGGATCAGACCAATGGTCCATCTAGTCCAGCATCCTGTCTCACATGGTGGCCAACCAGTTCCTCTGAATTGCCAACGACAGGGCATAGAGGACGAGGCCTTCCTAAGAACGTAAGAAGAGCCCTGCTGGATCGGACCAGGGATCCATCTAGTCCAGCATCCTGTCTCACACAGTGGCCTCTGGAGGGCCAATGACAGGGCAGAGAGGCTGAGGCCTTCCTAAGAACATCAGAAGAGCCCTGCTGGATCAGATCAGGGGTCCATCTAGTCCAGCATCCCGTCTCACACAGGGTCCAACCAGTTCCTCTTGAGGGCCAACATAGAGTTGCTGTACTAAATTTCTCATCATGGTGACCTCTGTCCATCGCAGGAGCAGCTACCATTTGAAGGTGGGGAGATCTCTGTCCCTGCATATTGGACAGTCTCTGTTTCTAGAAGTCACAGGGTAAAGAAATCTCTTGATGACCGGAGCATTCAGAGACTTTGCATCCTTTGTCATTCGCTGATATTTTGGTTTGTCTGTATCTCATAAGAACATAAGATGAGCCCTCCTGGATCAGACCAGTGGTCCATCTAGTCCAGCTTCCTGTCTCACACAGAGGCCAGCCAGTTCCTCTGGAGGGCCAACAACAGGGCAGAGAGGCCGAGGCCTTCATAAGAACATCGGAAGACTGGATCAGCCCAGTGGTCCATCCAGTCCAGCATCCTGTCTCACACAGTGGCCAACCAGTTCCTCTGGATGGCCAACAAGAGGGTCCTGGGATTCAGAGATTTAGTGCATCTGAATGTGGAGGCTCCCCTCTGTCAGCATGGCTAGTAGCCAGTGATAGACCTCTCCTCCATGAATCTGCCTAATAACCTTTTAAAGCCCATGGCCATCACTACATCTTTTTGGAAGACCATCAGATGGTAGGTGTTTTTTCACGTCTTCCATATGTTGCATTAACACATGAAGGGGAGCGGTTGAAACTTTATAGTAGAGACAGACTTATTATGTCCACCAGCCATAAAGCTTTGAGTGCTAAAAAATAGGAGTCATTTTTTTGGGTGTGTGTGTGTGTGTTATTCTGAAGTGTAAAATGTGGTTGTATACAAAAGTCCTGGTGCTGTATTTGAGAGATCCTGTTTCTGCACCAGCATTTTATTTATTTATTAGATTTACTAGGCTGCCCTTCCCTAGAATGGGTATGCATAGACAGGTGTAGGTATTAGACGTGACATTTTCCAAGATGAAATGTAAATAAATTATGCTTTCTCGTTGGTCATTCTTTATGGCTCCAGGCATTCTGTTCTCCAACGGCCGGTTGTGGAAGCAGCAGAGGAAACTGGGGCTCGCTGTCATGCGGAAGCTGGGACTGGGGAAGAAAAGCATGGAGCAACAAATACAAGAGGAGGCTGGCCTTCTTGTGGAGACTCTTGCATGCGCCAAGGGTATGTGTCAATGCAGGGTTACGGTGGTTCATGTCCCAGTTTGGACAAGTCTTGGTATGACCTACAGCTTTTTCATTACTCACTGATCGTGTTAATTTATCAAGCGCAGCACTTTCAGGACTGTTGTTTTGTTACAACCGCCTTAAACCCTTTGGGAACTCCAGAATGGGCATTTCCCCAAGTGTCTTACACAGGGGTCATTTCGTAGAAAAAGAGGTGCAAGAGCCAGGGCTCCCAAATACTTACCTTGATTCGGCGGGCGATGTATAGTTCTTCATGGGACCATTCCCATGGGGAAAATACAGGAACTGCACTATTCCATCGCCCAGACGTGACATAGGCACGCAGCCGTGTGACACTCTAGCAATGGGGCTGGAAACTCGATGGTACCATCGAGTTTCCAGTCCCATTACCAGAGTGTCGCCCAGCTACGTGCCTACGTCATGACTGGGCGACGGAATAGTGCAGCACCTGTGTTACAAGCAAGAATCTTCCAGCGGGGAAGCACGTGTCCCCCGCCGGTTCGTAGGTAGGTACTTGGCAACCCTAGCAAGAGCTCATTAGCATAACTTATTAGCATAACTTGTTTCCATATGCCACACCCCCTGGCATCACCGGAAGTGTGTCAGAAGGCAACACCCACCGCTCAGGCTCCACTGGACTGTTTTGGATTGCTAGCTATTGGGGGGGGGGGAAAGTGGCAGCGCTGCCCTCGCAGAGGAGGGAGAGCTTGTACCTGAATAAAACTTGGTCTTAAAGGTGCCACTGGACAGTTTTGGATTGCTAACTATGGGGTGGGAATGCATAGATCTGCCCTCACAGAGGAGGGAGAGCTTGTACCTGAAGGTTGTCCTGCCTGCTTCTTGCTCCTCGTGGCCCAACTGAGGGCTGCTGGGAGCAGGGGGTGGGGCTTGCATGTGCCCATCCCCTGGGCTCCTTACTGTCGGAGCTCCACTCCTGTGCACTCCCACAGGAAATGACCCCTGGTCTTACACACTAATTCAGCATGACTGATACCTTCAAGCCACATGAAGATACAGCAACTCTGTACATGGAATGCTGCACCTCTGAATTGTTGTAAGGGCCTAGAAGGCTCCACATGGGTTACAGACTGCAGACTTGTAACTTTGGGGTTAAATTCAGACAGTTAACAATATAAGAAGATTCCTGCTCAATCAGACCAATTATCTCTCTCGTTCAGCATCCTCTTTTCCACAGTACCTATTCAGATGCCCCTGAGTTGCCCACAATCAACAGCATAGAGTCCAAAGCTTTACCACGTCTTCGTCCCCTCTTCCCAACACTAAGCACACTGAATCTGAGGTTCCATTTTGTAGTGGTTAAGTGCACAGACACTAATCTGGGAGAACCGGGTTTGATTCCCCACTCCTCCACTTGCACCTGCTGGATGACTTTGGGCAAGCCATAGTTCTGTCAGAGCTGTCCTTGAAAAAAGCAGTTTCTGTCAGAGCTCTCTCAGACCCACCTACCTCACAGGGTGTCTGTTGCTGGGAGGGGAAGGGAAAGGAGTTTGTAGGCCACTCTGAGACTCCTTTGGGTAGTTAATAGGGGATACAGGTGAGTAAGGGAGTGAAGGCTTGGGACAGCAGTGGAACGTCTGAACTTCCTGTGGATAAAAACAGGTCTTATGAGACTGGTATTTCACAGTATCAGTATCTCCATAGTTAAAACTTAACCATCACATGGAACTTCAAGGAAGAATTACTTTCTCTACAAGGAAACAAAGGGATCTTTCCCCTCCCTTTCCAAGAAGAAGAAGAAGAGAAGAGGAAGAGATTGGATTTATACCCTGCCCTTCACTTGGAGTCTCAGAGTGACTTACAAACTGATTTACTAGGAAAGTGGCATTTTCTATGTTCAAATTTTGTCTACAGTAGGGATGGGCACAAACCAAATTACAGATGAACCGGGCTGGTCTGTACATTTTAGAACAAGGATTTGTGCGATCACGCTGTTAATGAACTACCCAGGAGCCACCAGGGGTTTTTTTGGTGGTGGTTTGTTCAAAGCCAGTTTGGGTTAGTGGTTAAGTGCACAGACGCTAATCTGGGAGAACATGGTTTGATTTCCCACTCCTCCACTTGCAGCTGCTGGATGACCTTGGGCAAGCCATAGTTCTGTCAGAGCTGTTCTTGAAAGAGCAGTTTCTGTCAGAGCTCTCTCAGCCTCACCTACCTCACAAGGTCTCTGTTGTGGGGAGGGGAAGGGAAAGGAGTTTGTAAACCACTCTGAGTGAAGGGCAGGGTATAAATACGATCTCCTCCTCTTCCTTCTCCTCCTCCTTCTTCTTCTCTCTTCTCCTCCTCCTCTCTACTCCTCCTCTTCCTCCGTCTTTGTCTTCTTCTGGGTTCATGGGCCAGACACGCCCAAGGCAATTGTCAGAAACCCTTTAAAGCCAGTGAGCTCAGCCTTCTGATTTCACTGGCGAGTCATGCTGCCTTGGCGGCGCAACACAACTGAGTTTAGAAGGCATTTAAATGACTTCTGAGTTTGCTTGCGAGCTGTGCCACCATGGCAGCGTGACACAAGTGAGTTCAGACGGCATTGAAAAGCCTTCTGAGTTCACTTGCGAGTTCTGCTGCCACCACAGTGTGGCAGCAGTGAGCTCAGGAGGCATCCAAATGCCTTCTGAATTCACTTGCGAGAGCTGCTGCAGCTTCCATGGGGGGAGAGCAAAAGGCATCACTGAACTGGCTTGTATCTATTAGAAGTGGGTGGGGAGCAAAAGGGATGCATTAAAATGGCTCGCATCTATGCCTTTCAGTCCTCCCCTCAGAAGCATTTAATGCGACGAGTGTGCTCAGAAGGCACTGGAATGGCTTCTGGGTTCGCTTGCGAGCTGTGCTGCCACGGCTCCATTTTCTAGCAGATGCAGTTTCTGAGCGACCTTGAAATGTATGTAGAGTATGGAATGATGACCCAGTAAGACCCCAAGGACTGTAACCCTCACTAGGTTTTCTATCAGGTTCCCTGAAATTACCGTATTTTTCGCTTCATAAGACGCACCTGACCATAAGACACCTAGTTTTTAGAGGAGGAAAACAGGAAAAAAAAATATTCTGAACCAAATAGTGTGATGAACAGTGAGCCGAAGGCGGATAAACGCGGGGGGTGTTCACACGAGCAGCCTCCCCTTCCTCCTCCTCCAGACCCAGAGTGACAGCGCGAGGCAAGGGGCAGCAGGGAGGGAGAGGGGCAAACACCGGAGGAGGAGGAGGAAGGGGGGGCGTGACTCGACTGTGAGAACCGACACAAGCGTGCAGGTGCGTGAGGGCAAGAAGGGGTTGGGAAGGGGCGAAGCGAGGAGCCAGTGCATGCCCCTGCGTCTCTGTGCCTGTGCGGCAGCTTGGGTCTGTGGAAGTCTGGAAGCTGCGCCTGCGAAAAAGAGACATAGGGGGAGAAATGGGGGGGAACGCCAGGCATCTTTGCTTCTTGTGCCGCGTGAGTGCTTTGTCGCCCTCCGTCCCCCGGTGCAGCCGCAGCAGCAGAAGGTCTTTCCAACTAGTCAGCTGAGCCACGCAGCGTCTGCAGCTGAGAGAAGTATTCGCTCCATAAGACGCACACACTCCCCCCCACCTTTTTTTGGGGGGGAAAGTGCATCTTATGGAGCGAAAAATATGGTACAAAGTGAAGTCTTGTCTTTATTTCTCTTATCACTCTCTCAGGTCAGAGCAATGATGGAACACAAACGTAGCCCCAGATAGATGCAAGGTAACTGGAGAAACAATAAATATTTACTTGAAAAAGGCTGAAGATCAAATGTATGAACAAACCTCCGCCTCTCTAAAGGCCTGTTGATATGATGAGGCTCTAACAGTCAGTATCTTTTGTTAGCAGTTTATTGTGTAGTGAGTTAGCCGCATGGAAGACCCACTGAGGCACACATGATACCCTGCACGCTTTACTGATACACAACAAAGACAAACAGCCGGCTGCCCAACTATATACACACCTGGGGACACACCCCTAGGTCCCGTTGGTGGGTTTAAATCTCCCGCCACGGTCCCATTGGTCCCCCAGTGGAGAGACCAGGAGCCTAGACCCCATTGTTCTTCCAGAGTCAAGCTCTGGGGTATTCACTGGCCCCTGGTGGCAGTCAGCGGACACAACACAGTTGGCAGTGGGCAATATTTGAAACTCTAAAACTCTAACTCATGGAAAGCCATCTGCTCAGGTGTGAAGTCCTGGCATCCTGTATCGCCCTTGATGTGCGGATAGATCTTGGCTTTTCCCAGGCAAACAAGGCACCATCCAACAGGAAACGGCAATTCAGATGCAGATCAGATCCATATACTGCGTGACATCAGGTCCTTCAGCAATGGTGGGGTTACCTCTCCTTAGTTGTTGCTTCTGTTAACAATGGCTAAAATGTGCTTCTCTTTCCCATAAGGCTCTGAGCTGAATGTGTGTGCAGACCTCATTAACATAAAATGCAGGCAAGTGTCCTCTATGTGAAATCTCTCACAATAGGTCAGTGGTGGCGAACCTACGGCACGGGTGCCAGAGGTGGCACTCAAAGCCCTCTCTGTGGGCACGCGTGCCATTGCCCCAGCCAGGCCCAGACCATCATGAAAAGTGTCGAATTCTCTGCCAAATAATTTTAAGTAAATGAAAGCATTTGGGATTGCTTTCCTTACTTTGTTTGGATCATCTTCAGTTCATGTATGAGTTTTTTTTTCTAAAGTAAAACCTCAGTATTCAGGTTAAATTGCCGTGTTGGCACTTTGCGATAAATAAGTGGGTTTTGGGTTGCAGTTTGGGCACTCGGTCTCTAAAAGGTTTGCTATCACTGCAATAGGTAATGCAAGCAGCTTTCTTTCTCTTTTTTTTTTATAAGTACCCAAGGGTACACTTTTATTATTTTTTCTATTATATACTACAGACATACAAACACACATACAAACAACCCCTAACTACCCCCCACATCATATAACATATAACAAGAGACTTTATCATTTCTTCTGCTTGTTAGATTTCTA